CCCCACCCCACCCCCCCACCTCGCCTCCAGCTCTCCGACTTAACTCCTCAAATCCAAAGCAGATTGTACTTTTTATGACTGTTTATTGAGTCAAAGACAGAAAGAGAGAAAAAAAAGAGAGAGGAGAAAGAAAACACGATGGACCTTTTCTTTTCTCCTCATCCTTGCAGAGGATGAGAGGAGCGGCGGAGAGAGGGGGCCGTTGGGAGGGGAGGGAGACGGAGAGCGGGAGCCGCTTCTTCCGCCATACTTCTGTAAACAAAAGTGATTTGCAAGACAAAAAGGAGCGCAACCTTCCGACTAAATTCAGAGTGCATTTTGCAGCTTGAGGAGGGAGGAGGAAGGAAAAAAAAAAACGCAGCCACGACGTGCCACGGAAACCCCCGCGGACACCAATTAGACCCGATTAACATGTAATGCCAATTTGATAAGGTGTGGGCCCTATCCTTTAAATCCGCATTAAAACCATTTTTCCTCTTGTCGCAGCCAAAAATCCATTTACACCGAGCGAACACACATAATCCATATGACGCACCATTGTTGTGCTCGTGCTGCCGACATGTTCGGGAAAGATACAGTCTGTGCCGTTTGTTGCCCGATAAGGCCACAGGAATAYGTGCACGGAGCACAAAGGAGGCTTCATTTGTGCATCTTCCTTGTAATAATCTGTGACTTAAAACCCTTCATGATGAAAAAAATAAAAATTATAATAATAATGAGCAGGGTGAGAAACGGTGAATGAAAATAGATTTTTTTTTCCAGAAACCTGCAGCAACACGAGCACGACAAGACRAACCAAACAAAGACGGAAAAGTGCTGAAAAGCTATTGTTTCAACCACACAAAGCCTTTTCACCGTCTTGTAGAAGAYTCAGTGCAGCTTCTCYCTCTTCYTTTTTTTYCCCCTCCACTCATAACACATAGGTGGATGCTCAGTTTTGCATCCCACCCACCCCAGCACCCAACAATACCACCACCATTTGCCCCACCTCCACTTGTTCCTTCGTAATTACACGTCGAAACTCAAAACCTCTGCCAAAAGTCTCGGGGCCTGGAGAATTATATGGGGCCAGGAGTGGCGTCAAATATCTTAACATTCATAAGTCCGAGAAGCACTAAATAAAGCCGGTGGATTTACGGCCCTGCAGCCTCCAACACAGGAGAGCTGGCCGCCGCAGATCCCCCTCTCCTTCCCTTTCCTCGGCCTCTGCTTCTCCAGACCTGTTGAGGTGTCATGTCAGCCCACAGCACCGGAGTTAACCCACTGCCTTCTTCCCCCCCCAAGAAGCTTCACTTTAGCAACGGCAAGAAACAAAAAAGGTAAATGCAGAAATGGGGAAAAAAAGGAGGTGGGGAGAGGGGGTACAGAGGGAGCAGAAAAGAACAAGGAGGACCRTTAAAGGAGATGAAAAACCAGGGTTGAACTTGGTAGGCCACTTCCCCAATTCAACCTGCACCCAGTGATTCGGCAGGCCTTTGTGTGGGGTTTTAAAGGGAGGAGGGAGAGGAGAGGAGAGGAGGAGACAAGGGCAGGAAGGCTTTTAAAGCCCCGGCACAGCATCATGTCAAATTGCTAAATGATACTAAATTGTGAGCCTCCTTGGATTTAGGTGGCAGGAAAAACAAACTCTCATGACTCCCAGGGGTCAGACGGTAACGGCCTCATGCAGGAATCCCCTCCAACCCCACCCCCACAAATCATTTAAACACAAAAATAACGCAAACAATTTAAAAAAGGTGTCCAGGGGGGATTATGGGAAGCGACAACTGATGGACAAAAACTGCCTCGAAATGCAATTTAAATCATTTCTATGAGAGGAAAACATGTCTAAATTTATCCATTAAAATAATGTTATCGTTGCAACGCCACAAGGAAAAAGAACAGGTGAAGAAAGCGGGGGAAAAAAAAAAACACGCCGAGAATCAAAGGCTTTCATGACAAGGTGGACAAAGTCTCATACTAATATTWCTGGCAGTCATATTCAGAGCCTAACATGACATGTTAGGGAGCAAGACAGCTAATCAATGTCCAGGTGAATTATTTATACCAGCTTTAAGTTTAATAGATTGATATTACAGCCACCACCTACTTCAAAGCACTAATGGTTGGACACACAGGGCGCTGCAGACAGAGGGGGCCAAGGCAGTACAGTCGGACGACCACGGCGAGCCGAAAACCRCCTTTTGATGAAACAACCGTTCAGGTGAATTCATCTCATCTGCAAATAGGCAGATTTTGAGGTGATTTTGCAAAAATGGAGCAGAGATGAAAAATTATGATAAAAAAAGGAGATATGATTTTTTTTTTTTTTTTTACAAATTGAATCACTGTAGTTTTGGTTAATAGTGCATGTGTTTAAAAAAAAAAAGGAACATGACAAAAGCAAAAGGTCAACCGAGTGTCACAGCAGTATCTCTCGAACACATCACAAAATTTACTGCTTTTCTCGCTGTTGGACAACGAAGCGAGCGCTCCGCAGACCGCAACAGGGCACCGCGCTGTGTGATACACACACCGAGAAATAAAGAAATAAATAAATAAAAACTCCTGCCACCGAAACAGGGAAGTCCTTCATTTCAAATCATGCAMGTCGTCGTCATGAATGTGTGTGTTTGTGTCAGCGCTGATGAAAAACAACCGGATGACTAATTCCACATACCAGCCGGCAGCAGCGTTATCACAGGAGAGGAGAAAAAAATGATTTGCAAAAACATTATCTCGCATTGAAGATGCAAAGGGTTAAAAGAAAACAATTAAATAAATAAATGGACAATTTCACGTGAGACAAACGGGGTGGTTGAGTAAAGAGCAGAAATTGTGTCAAGCACAAAAGGAGGCATTATGTGTCAAGATGTGAGCTCATTTTTCCAAGGTGTGCACATGCAGGGAACAAAAAAAATACTGAGGTAACAAATATCAGTTTCGTTAAGCAGAGCCGAGTTAGTGGCTCGTGTTTCTTACTGACTGGTCTTTGCCTTAACCTTGTAAAATGAGATGACAGGTCCTAAAGCAAAGATTTGTAATTGCAACCGTTAAAAATTTTTTTTAAAAAAAGTCAAGGATGAGAAAATTATTCTGCTTTAAAAAGGACTCTCATTGCCCCCTTGGGAGAACAGTGTAATTGTGTCAAAACAAACAGCATAAAATAATTTAGAAATACAGGTGTAAACCTGTGTTTAAAGTAGCGGATTCCCTTCAGGTAGCAGAGGCGGCACACATGCACAGCACAGAACTGCACAATCACTCTCAATAAATAAATCACAGCTTTTCATTTTACATATATATATAATTACAGCAATTTAAAAGCTTCATTAAATTATAGAGAAGCATGGATAATAGTTTTGTGCATGGACTTTTCAAATAATTTCTTTCCTTTTTTTTTGTTTCAACATGCAAATTACTCTGAAAGGCTCATTAGCATATGTTTATTTTATTTGCTTGGTTTTACACTGTTTTTACACTGCTTTCAGAGAGCCATGCGTGTGTTGGAAAAAAGGGCATTTTAGATGAGGGCTGTGCAAACATAAATCAGCTGCATTATTCAATAGGGTAAAATATATATATATATATATTTATATTGTGCACTTGTTGTAGCCTGGTTTTAACTCTACAGAACCATAAGCTGATAAGAGAGGAAAGGAAAGTTATAATTGTGTTTGATTTTAAAGTTGCTAAATTTGAAACTTGAGGAGCGTAAATGCATATAAGCTGCCATTTTTATGGCATTTTCGTCCCTCCTTTTCTCCTCCTGTTGTTGTGTTTAGCAGAGTTAGCAGGCTGGCTGCACGCGCACGCCGCTGTGCTACTGTACACTTCAGGTGAAGTTGTAAAACTCGGCTCTGAACGTTTCACGGTGACAAACAATCCCGTGGCAGGGGGAGTGTGTGTGTTTTGAGGAGTGTGTGTGTTTATAAATCCAGCTGGAAATAAGAAATGAACTTACTGTGCGTGCTGTCGGAGAAAGGGATCCATTGGGGAGGTAGGGGCTTGTGAGATCGGGAATCATTATAAACGGATAGCCCGGGTACGGTGGGCTCTTGAACAGCCCTCCATCTTGCCTTTTCGCAGCTAACATGGCGGGGGGTGAGAGAGGAGGGAAAAGAAAAAAACAGAGGAAAACTTTTTTTAATAAACTGGAAAGTTTTTCATCCCTGGATATAGCATTTATTGAGGGGAATAAGCCGGAGGAGGTACTCCCCTTTAAGTCTATCAGGCACAAATGTCACGAATGCAAAAGTAAAACTCACCCTCTTCTAAACTTTCTCTTGTTTTGTCTCTGAAAGTTTCAGATCTAGGCGGAGGCCGTCTTTCCGCCTTTAAACAAAAAATGCAATGAAACAAGGATTAAAAACGTAGGCTGGCACAGTGAACTTTCTCCAGCGTGCAAGTCAGGCCTGGGCGTTTAAGAAAAATAAATAAATAAATAAATAAGCTGCGACTTCAAACTTCCCAGATCGGGTATCGATCCGGGAGAAAGGGAAAAAAAACTTACCTCCGAATCCGACGAGCTGTTCTGGTTCGTTTCCGACTCGTTTACGAGCGAAGACTTGACGTCCGCTAAATCCCTTTCTGCCGAGGAGTTCTCGGAGATCTTCTCCTCCTGCTCCCCTTCGTCTTTGAAGGAAATCATTTCATCGTTCGCACCCAGATCGTCCCCTCCACCGCCGTTGAGCTGCGGCATGTTTTCCCCCGAACCCGGAAAAAAAAAACTTCTCTTGATTCGGGGGGTGACCAAAAAAAAAAAAAAACTTTCAAAGCCTTGATCTCGAAAAGTCCGAGTTTAAGTGTTTTTTAAAAAAAGCAGGGGGGTCTCTTCTAATTTTTCCCCCCACTTTTTTCCAAAATAAAAATAAAAAGCGCTGGCTGTTGGTGTAAAAAAAGTATATTAAAAAGAAGTGGAGGAAAAATGTTGGCAGTAAAAAAGGGGGAAAGCCGGAGAAGGAAGCCGAGCCGCTCGGATTGAGTGAGTTGAAGTTGGTCGGAGTGGTTTTCAGTTCAAAGGCGGCGCTGATTGACAGATAGAGAGGGATGGAAATAGAGAGAGTCTGGATTCGGGATTATTGACAGGGAGAAACACACAAGAAACTAATGAGATTCAAACAGGGAGGGACTTGAAGTGACGTTTTCATAAATAGGAGGAAGAGAGAGAAAAAAACATAGAGGAAGAGGAGGAGGGAGGGGAGGAAAGAAGCCGGCTGCAGAGGAGAAGAAGCATGTGAGCAGGGGGGAAAAAAAGGCAGTTTGGGAGCAGGACAGTGATGGTAAAATAGCAGGAAGATAGGAGGGTTTGCTTGCAAATGTGGATTAAACGCACATATGGGCGGTCTCCCAGTGGGGAGGAGGGAAAAAAGGGAAAAATGAAAAGAGGGCACTTCCTCCAGGCTGTTTGCAACCAGTTTGACTCATTCCTGACCAGTTTGGACCAAATGAACTAATATTAAAGCTTATATTGATGCTTATTTTTTTCCTCCTCAGCTTCTACTTTTCTTTCTGTCTTTTTCTATCCTTTAAATACCCAACATATCAAAGCAGAATTACTCAAAGCTGTTAGGTTTTATTATTATTTGATCAGCTTTGTCAGCTCCTTAGATCTATTTTTCATTATATTGGCTAATGTTTCCTTAGATCTGTTTTTTTTTTATTATTTATTTATTTATTTTGTGGGGGTGGAGGGTGTTATTGCATCCTGCTTTCCTGACAGGTGTGATGTCTTCTGGGACTAAACCTGAATTCCTCACAGACTGAGCTGTTGTTTCTTTTTATTATTATTATTATTATTATTATTTTCTCTCCTGCCGCTGCAGCCAGACTGGACACAAATAGCTGATGCAGATTTGGATGCTCCATTTTTTTTGTCTTATTTTAGTCTAAAGACATGAAACAAAAAAAGGCCTCTTTTATGTTTGATTGCAAATAATAGAACATCAGTGCTATTTTGACCACATAAAATGAGCAACATATTATTGTTTTAGCTATTTAACAACACGCATAACAACTGTTATTGTCTTATGGCATTTCTCGTTATTTTAAAACTGCATTTTAATTATGGAWTAACAAAGAGGAGAAACATCTATTTTTGATAATTATGGGTAAATATTAAATTAGAATTGTGTCAAAACCAATAAGGGAACCCCTACAGTTTAATATCAGTATTATTAGTTATCTGGTAAAATGCACTTTCTGTTATCTGCCAAAATCTGGMTGCAACAATCACAAAAACATCAATTAATTTCTCTTTTGCTGCAAGAAATGGAGCTAAAACACGTTCAGATGACACCGCCTTGCARAATGAAACGKTGCGAGATCAAACCCAGCCCCGCARTCGTTGATTAAAAAAATATTGTCTCATGCCTTCACGCTGTAAGATGCATGAAAACAAATATTATGACACTAATTCTTCTGCTCGTTCTGTCAGCAGTGTTGTCAGGAAGCACTGACGGGGAATTATGTGCAGCTCTGAGGTGCTGCACGTCTGCCTGCCGGTGTACCCGGACCCAGGCAAAGGCACCATGACAGCCGATGACGGCGCTCACTGATGTTCTGTACGTGTGGACCAGGTGGAGGCTGTGTTTGKGTTCTGGCTGGGTGCAGCTTCGTGCACACGGTGGCTTTTGGGTGGGGGAGCGTGCAGGGGAGAAAGGGGGTGCTGCCGTTGCACGGTTTCCCATCCAGTAGATTCTGTGTTMTGGAAGAAGGGGCGCCCTGCTGCTCAGGGGCCCTCCAAACCCAACCCACCCCACCGTCAACACCTCACAGACCCAGACCAAAGCAAGAGGGGCCTTCGTGGTGGCCTCCACCCGGATTGCCTCAGCAGGTTCCTGAGAGTTTGGAGGGGCGGGGGGCTGGCAGTGTGGCGTGGGGACACCTGCCTCTGCTGGTGATTTTAATCTACAGAAGCCTTTAATAACATGATGACAGGCTCTGCTGCTGCTGCTGCTGCTGCTGCTGCTGCTGCTGCTGCTGCTGCTGCTGCTGCTGCTGCTGCTGCTGCTGCTGCTGCAGAAACCTGCACAGTGGCTGCTGCTGCTGCTTTGTATTTATTATTTCGGCTGCGTGTTTTGCATGTTCACCTCTGCTCCTTGTAGCTGAGGACTGTCCCCCCACCCCACCACCCAACCCCACCTCTCATCGACATCATCAGAGACTGATCTCCTGGCAGTGTGCCAACCTCAGTTAGTCGAATCTGTCAGCAGCAGTCAAACAAGTTATGAAATGCGAAACACAGACCCTCATTTAACTGAAACAATAAATAAATGCAACAAACAATAGATGAATCAGTTTTTTAAAAAAAGCAGAACACATGCTCCATGTTTCTGAAGTGCTAAGATAAAAAGTATTTGCTTAAATCATCTTTTCTTTTATCTGTATTGGCCAATTTTTTGCAATAAAAATAATAAAAAAATACATTTTTTTCCTTAATGAAAAATATCCACAGTATATTCAAAATGCATTCAATTCATATCAAATCAGTTTTATTTTTGTATATATGATGTTAATTTAATTTCTGTTTTTAAATTTTACAGATTTGTTTGTTTTAGTCAAATGAGCTTGTCAAACCATATTTAAAGTGTGAGGGGTCTTAAACAGTAATTTTGAAGTAGGGGTGTGTGGTGTGCAGAAACACCACCTGATGGATGCTGCAGGACATACACCTCTACATAAGAGTTAAACAAATACAGTTTTTTTAAGAAAACTGATTTTGTTAGTGATGCATATGTTCAATTTAAAGTCTTGTTCAGATATTAATTTTTTTGCAAATCAGCTCCGTTTGTAAATCTGCGAGCAAATTTTTTCATCACAGCTTTATTTTGTCCTCCATTTTGACAGGAAGTGCCAACAGCAGCCCACTGCTGAAACATGTTCCCGCTGCAATAAAAGTCTTTCGTAGAGGAGTGTTTAGCACGCTTTCGTTTTTTTTCCTCATTTATGTACAAACGCTTCCAGATTTTCAGAAACACAATGTAAAATAATTTTTCTTGAATGTTGAAAGTCCTCACCCAGAAAAAAATTTATAAAAAAAAAAAAACATCCCTTCACTTGGAGCCTCAGCAGCACTTTGCCTTCGTCATATGCTCCTAAACGGTTAATTATCCATCAAGCCTCCATGGTGCCAGCCACAGCCAGTAAAAAAGTCTCTCATTACCTGATTAACATTTTACTACTGGACATTTTCTGCCTTTTTTTCCCTCTCCTCTCACAAAACTCTGCTTCTTTTACGGTTACAGATTCACTCCTGCCGTAACATTTGTTTCCTAATTAAGACRTACTATTTAACCTCGACTACTTTTAGCAGAATGCCATTTTTCCCCCATTGTTGGGCGTAATGTTGTGTAACATTTTTTGGCATTTATCGACAGTACGGCTAATATAAATTCTATCAGTGTGACAATACTGTAGTTAGCTGTAATTACATCTGTACTAATGGGCCTCATCATTATTTTGGAACGGGAGATAGAAAGCAGTAATAGCTGATTATGAAAAGCATGTTTCATGCTCTTTATAATTTATTTGAGTAAAAACAAATCMGAGGACAAATGTGCATGCCCGCGTGTGTTTGTAAATGTCAGTATTCTCGAATTGTGCTGTTGTTCATTTCTGCATAAAAGGGTTTTTTTATGTGCAATTTTTTAAATATATGTTCCTCCTGCTCCTGTTTATAAAGTAAAATGTCTCAAGAACCAGTGGACAAATGTGACCAATCACATCAAACTGAGGATGAAGTCAAATTTGGTCAAAATGACCCAAATATCTTTTCAGATCCCAGACTTTGCTACATTTTGATGCCTGGGTCATGTTGAAATCATGAGCGGTTCCAGAGATATGGCTTGATTTATCTTGGTAATAATAATACATTAATTTTTGTTCTGATTCCTATTTTTAGGGTTTTCTAATGAAGATTTTTTWAAAATGTTATTGAGGACATCTCAAATAGTATTTGGATACTGCGATTTCCCAGCTGGAAAGAAAAAATTGTTGCTAGTGCGTGAGGAAAATAT